TATGCTAGTGAGAACCAAAACAATATGGAAATGAATGAGGGAAAACTGGATCCTACCACGTGATTTCCCGGCCAATAAAAATGTAGCGTTAAACGTTTAACGCAACCTTGTTGGAAGTCGCATAAGAAGTATAACTTCAATAATAACTTTTAGAATGACTACTGACACTTTAAAGGAAGTAAAAGAGAAATTTTTAAGAACGTGATATTTTGACTTTTAAGCAAAAAGTGGCTCTCACTTTCAAATAATGTTAATCAAAAGATAAACCATTTTTGTAGAATCTTTATACCTTCTATAAACTATTAGTTTTGTCTGCTTGAACTCTGTCTACTCATTCGTTGCCGTGAAACAAAATAAATCTGAAAATAGCTCTCACGTGTCATATTTAAATTTCTGTCTTCTTTTCTATCTTTGCCAGTCTCAGGTCCAAAGAGACCACCATTATTTTTCACTTTTATTATTTCACCAAGAATAATTAAAAGAATGAGACCACTCATAAATATTACAAATTCCCACACTGGTCTAAGAATAGTTATACATTCACCGCCACTAATAAAATCACTGTAAAGTCAGACCCTTTTTAAAATAAAATCTGCAAGAACAGAATCATTTCAATATAAAAACATATTAAAACTAATCTTTAATAAACTAACTATAGTCGTTTTTTTAAAATCAAGCTTATGGCGAGCCTTTGATGAAATGCACGAAAAAGGAAAATATGCTTTTTCTCTCCAAGACAATATTTAGCATTAATTTAATTTGAAAGAAAATATTTAACAATTTTTTTTCTTTTCAAGTTTAAAATTATTTGTAGCTTGTATCCATACAGATAATACGTTTCACCTACGCACAAAACTACAGATCTTTTTGGGCTTGGAAAGTGTAATTCCCACCTGTAGCTTACAACTACAGCCACGGGTATGAATTACTTCTGTTGAGAAAATTGAAGGGGTCAAAGTTTAAAAAAAAGAATGATATAGAAAAGGGAAATGTTAAAGAAACAAAATTAAATCTGCTCATGAATTGAGGAAAGTTATATTATGTGTATAATTCTATGTGATATCGGTCATCATATAATTCTCAGTCAAGAAAAATGAAAAGCCCGCAGAAGAGATGAAGGAAATTCAAGTGTATTAATGTTATATTTAAGAATGGATTCAATACTTTACGTATTCAATGAGTTAAAAGCCATATAACAAAAAAATATCATTTCCGCTAGTTATTTTATTTAAAAAAAAAAAAAACAGAATCAGAATATTGTTGAATAATTTAAAAAAAACACGTAATAACATAATAATCCATTAATGATTCAAAATAGGAATAAAGATTGAGGGTATATTTGTACATTCGTTTTGTTAATTTTGTTTGTTGTTACTTTATTCTTATTGTTCAGAATGTTAAACTTGGTATTGTTTACTTGGTATTGTTCGGAATGTATTGTTTCTAAGTGAACCCCTGTCAATTAATAAAATCATCTTCTTTATGAAATCAAATGTGGTACAGTAAAAAGAGAAAGCCCGACTACGTCATTTTAGCAATATCGCTGATTGACGTAATCATTTTTAATGTCCTCGGATTGATAGGTAAATGAAAGGATCCGACTTCATAAGGCAAATTCATCTTACTGTTAAATTATAGATGAAGTTCTCAGATCATACTTTCTATTAGAAATAATATATTATAGAATGTGTTTTTCTGTATTTAAAAGAAAAAAAATTGTTTAGTATATTATTTATACAAGTAAAAAGGTTTACATAATAATAAAGAAATATATAGAATTATTCTGAAAGCTAATATTTATAGAATCGTTTACTAAAATAGTTTTTTCTTTTAAAAAATTTACTATTTATGTTTTAAAAGAAAAGGAGGAAATAAAACACCTTTTAGAACAATATATGCTTTGCTCTAAACACAAATTATTATTTTATAACAAAACTAACAACCTACAGATTGCAGATTTCAATGTTTTCATAAATTTAAGTACTTGAGTGGTAACAAAATTTCTGCTACAGTAATTGATCCAGAAATTTTCATATTTTAGCAATATTTTAAAAGTGGTAAATTAATGAAGAGAAAAAAGAGTTTACTTATCTTTTCTTCAATTAAATTCATCTCTTTGAAATTTCAAAGTCTGTTTGTTTCAGGGCATTACATTGAAAATGTAACCCCTACTAAGTATAGGAAAATATTCAAGCTCAACAAAATAATTAAAAGGGAAAAAACTGTTATAATTTTAATGAATTTAACAATCGAAATAAAAGAACAAAAGCAGGAAAAATATAATCATTCAGATTTCTATTTAGTTTATTGAAAATAAATGCATTACAGGAGTTTTTGTGAAAACAAAACTAACCCATTGCTTGTTGCAATGCCTGACTGATAATTTGCGAGAATCTACTCGCATCACTGTAATTAACTTGTCCAATGTTAGATGATGATAGTATATGAACAAGAGCTGTAATAAGCTCAAGAAGAGCCTGTACTAAAACGTCACATTCAGAAGCACCGTAATTATCTGCACTAATTTGAGAAACTGAGTTACTAATAATGCTTCCTAATGTAGCTGTATTGGCAACTCCATTCGAAGTCAGTGACGAAGCAGTGGATGAAATTCTTGAGTTTGAGGATGGTGAACTTAGACGTGATGCGGCAATCGTAGCCATTGATGAACTAACTGCTCTTCCTTGACTTCCCATTCCACCTTGTCCACCAGATCCTGCTGCAGCGGCTGCTGATCCAGAACCTTGTCCGCCCCATCCACCTTGGCTTCCTTGACCACTACCTTGTCCCATTCCACCTTGTCCACCAGATCTGGCTGCTGCTGCAGCGGCTGCTAATCCAGATCCTTGACCACCTTGTCCTCCCCATCCACCTTGTCCTCCTTGACCAATTCCACCTTGTCCACCAGATCCAGATGCTGCTGCAGCGGCTGCTGATCCAGATCCCTGACCACCTTGTCCTCCCCATCCACCTTGTCCTCCTTGACCACTGCCTTGTCCCATTCCGCCTTGTCCTCCTTGACCAATACCTTGTCCCATTGCACCTTGTCCACCAGATCCAGCTGCTGCTGCAGCGATTGCTGATCCAGATCCTGGACCACCTTGTCCTCCTTGACCTATTCCACCTTGTCCACCAGATCCAGCTGCTGCAGCAGTGGCGGCTGATCCAGATCCTTGACCACCTTGTCCTCCTTGACCACTGCCTTGTCCCAATCCTCCTTGACCAATACCTTGTCCCATTCCACCTTGTCCAACTGATCCAGCTGCTGCTGCTGCAGCGGCTGCTGATCCAGATCCTTGACCACCTTGTCCTCCCCATCCACCTTGTCCTCCTTGACCACCGCCTTGTCCCATTCCGCCTTGTCCTGCTTGACCAATACCTTGTCCCATTCCACCTTGTCCACCAGATCCCGTTGCTGCTGCTGCAGCGGCGGCTGATCCAGATCCTTGATCACCTTGCCCTCCCCATCCACCTTGTCCTCCTTGACCAATTCCACCTTGTCCACCAGATCCAGATGCTGCTGCAGCGGCTGCTGATCCAGATCCCTGACCACCTTGTCCTCCTTGACCACTGCCTTGTCCCAATCCTCCTTGACCAGTACCTTGTCCCATTCCACCTTGTCCACCTGATCCAGCTGCTGCTGCTGCAGCGGCTGCTGATCCAGATTCTTGACCACCTTGTCCTCCCCATCCACCTTGTCCTCCTTGACCACTGCCTTGTCCCATTCCGCCTTGTCCTCCTTGACCAATACCTTGTCCCATTCCATCTTGTCCACCAGATCCAGCTGCTGCTGCTGCAGCGGCGGCTGATCCAGATCCCTGACCACCTTGTCCTCCCCATCCACCTTGTCCTCCTTGACCAATTCCACCTTGTCCACCAGATTCAGCTGCTGCTGCAGCGGCTGCTGATCCAGATCCCAGACCACCTTGTCCTCCCCATCCACCCTGTCCTCCTTGACCACTGCCTTGTCCCATTCCACCTTGTCCTCCTTGACCACTTCCTTGTCCCATTCCTCCTTGTCCACCAGATCCGGCTGCTGCTGCAGCGGCTGCTGATCCAGATCCCTGACCACCTTGTCCTCCCCATCCACCTTGTCCTCCTTGACCACTGCCTTGTCTCAATCCTCCTTGACCAATACCTTGTCCCATTCCACCTTGTCCACCTGATCCAGCTGCAGCTGCTGCAGCGGCCGCTGATCCAGATCCTTGACCACCTTGTCCTCCCCATCCACCTTGTCCTCCTTGACCACTGCCTTGTCCCATTCCACCTTGTCCTCCTTGACCACTTCCTTGTCCCATTCCTCCTTGTCCACTAGATCCGGCTGCTGCTGCAGCGGCTGCTGATCCAGATCCCTGACCACCTTGTCCTCCCCATCCACCCTGTCCTCCCCATCCACCCTGTCCTCCTTGACCACTGCCTTGTCCCATTCCACCTTGTCCACCAGATCCAGCTGCTGCTGCAGCGACTGCTGATCCAGATCCTGGACCACCTTGTCCTCCCCGTCCACCTTGTCCTCCTTGACCAATTACAGCTTGTCCACCAGATCCAGCTGCTGCAGCAGCGGCGGCTGATCCAGTTCCTTGACCACCTTGTCCTCCTTGACCACTGCCTTGTCCCAATCCTCTTTGACCAATACCTTGTCCCATTCCACCTTGTCCACCTGATCCAGCTGCTGCTTCTGCAGCGGCTGCTGATCCAGATCCTTGACCACCTTGTCCTCCCCATCCACCTTGTCCTCCTTGACCACTGCCTTGTCCTATTCCGCCTTGTCCTCCTTGACCTCTTCCCTGTCCCATTCCTCCTTGTCCACCAGATCCGGCTGCTGCTGCTGCAGCGGCTGCTGATCCAGATGCCTGACCACCTTGTCCTCCCCATCCACCCTGTCCTCCTTGTCCACTGCCTTGTCCCATTCCGCCTTGTCCTCCTTGACCAATACCTTTTCCCATTCCACCTTGTCCACCAGATCCAGCAGCAGCAGCGGCGGCTGATCCAGATCCTTGACCACCTTGTCCTCCCCATCCCTCTTGTTGTCCTTGACCACTGCCTTGTCCATATCCGCCTTGACCAATACCTTGTCCACTAGATCCAGCTGCTGCAGCAGCGGCGGCTGATCCAGATCCTTGACCACCTTGTCTTCCCCATCCACCTTGTCCTCCTTGACCACTGCCTTGTCCCATTCCGCCTTGTCCTCCTTGACCAATACCTTGTCCCATTCCACCTTGTCCACCTGATCCAGCTGCTGTTGCTGCAGTGGCTGCTGATCCAGATCCTTGACCACTGCCTTGTCCCATTCCGCCTTGTCCTCCTTGACCAATACTTTGACCCATTCCACCTTGTCCACCAGATCCAGCTGCTGCAGCGGCTGCTGATCCAGATCCCTGACCACCTTGTCCTCCCCATCCACCTTGTCCTCCTTGACCACTGCCTTGTCCCATTCCGCCTTGTCCTCCTTGACCAATACCTTGACCCATTCCACCTTGTCCACCAGATCCAGCTGCTGCAGCGGCTGCTGATCCTTGACCACCTTGTCCTCCTTGACCAATTCCACCTTGTCCACCAGATCCAGCTGCTGCGGCAGCGGCTGCTGATCCAGATCCTTGACCACCTTCTCCTCCCCATCCACCTTGTCCTCCTTGACCCCTGCCTTGTCCCATTCCACCTTGTCCACCAGATCCAGCTGCTGCTGCTGCAGCGACTGCTGATCTAGATCCCTGACCACCTTGTCCTCCCCATCCACCCTGTCCTCCTTGACCACTGCCTTGTCCCATTCCGCCTTGTCCTCCTTGACCAATGCCTTGTCCCATTCCACCTTGTCCTCCAGATCCAGCTGCTGCAGGGGCTGCTGATCCAGATCCTTGACCACCTTGTCCTCCCCATCCACCTTGTCCTCCTCGACCAATTCCACTTTGTCCACCAGATCCAGCTGCTGCGGCAGCGGCTGCTGATCCAGATCCTTGACCACCTTGTCCTCCCCATCCACCTTGTTGTCCTTGACCACTGCCTTCTCCCAATCCTCCTTGACCAATACCTTGTCCCATTCCACCTTGTCCACCTGATCGAGCTGCTGCTGATCCTGCTTCTTGACCACCTTGTCCTCCCCATCCTCCTTGTCCTCCTTGACCATTTCCACCTTGTCCACCAGATCCAGCTGCTGCAGCAGCGGCTGCTGATCCAATTCCTTGTCCTCCCCATCCACCTTGTCCTCCTTGACCACTGCCTTGTCCCATTCCGCCTTGTCCTCCTTGACCAATACCTTGTCCCATTCCACCTTGTCCACCTGATCCAGCTGCTGATCCAGATCCTTGACCACTGCCTTGTCCCATTCCGCCTTGTCCTCCTTGACCAATACCTTGTCCCATTCCACCTTGTCCACCAGATCCAGCTGCTGCTGCAGCGACTGCTGATCCAGATCCTTGACCACCTTCTCCTCCCCATCCACCTTGTCCTCCTTGTCCCCTGCCTTGTCTCATTCCACCTTGTCCTCCTTGACCTCTACCTTGTCCCTCTTGACCACTACCTTGTCCCATTCCGCCTTGTCCTCCTTGACTACTTCCTTGTCCCATTCCTCCTTGTCCACCAGATCCAGCTGCTGCTGCTGCAGCGGTGGCTGATCCAGATCCTTGACCACCTTGTCCTCCCCATCCACCTTGTTGTCCTTGCCCACTGCCTTTTCCCAATCCTCCATGACCAATACCTTGTCCCATTCCACCTTGTCCACCAGATCCAGCTGCTGCAGCAGCGGCTGCTGATCCAGATCCTTGACCACCTTGTCCTCCCCATCCACCTTGTCCTCCTTGACCAATACCTTGTCCCATTCCACCTTGTCCACCAGATCCAGCTGCTGCAGCAGCGGCGGCGGCTGATCCAGATCCTTGACCACCTTGTCCTCCCCATCCACCTTGTCCTCGTTGACCACTGCCTTTTCTCAATCCTCCTTGACCAATACCTTGTCCCATTCCTCCTTGTCCACCTGATCCAGCTGCTGCCGCTGCAGCTGCGGCTGATCCAGATCCCTGACTTCCTTGTCCTCCCCATCCACCTTGTCCTCCTTGACCACTGACTTGTCCTCCTTGACCACTGCCTTGTCCTATTCCGCCTTGTCCTCCTTGACCAATACCTTGTCCCATTCCACCTTGCCCACCAGATCCAGCTGCTGCAACGGCGGCTGATCCAGATCCCTGACCACCTTGTCCTCCCCATCCACCTCGTCCCCCTTGACCACTGCCTTGTCCCATTCCGCCTTGTCCTCCTTGACCACTTCCTTGTCCCATTCCTCCTTGTCCACCAGATCCGGCTGCTGCTGCAGCGGCTGCTGATCCAGATCCCTGACCACCTTGTCCTCCCCATCCACCCTGTCCTCCTTGACCACTGCCTTGTCCCATTCCGCCTTGTCCTCCTTGACCAATTCCTTGTCCCATTCCACCTTGTTCTCCTGATCCATCTGCTGCTGCAGCGGCTGCTGATCCAGATCCCTGACCACCTTGTCCTCCCCATCCTCCTTGTCCTCCTTGATCACTGCCTTGTCCCATTCCTCCTTGTCCTCCTTGACCAATACCTTGTCCAATTCCACCTTGTCCACCAGATCCTGCTGCTGCAGCGGCTGCTGATCCAGACCCTTGACCACCTTGTCCTCCTTGACCACTGCCTTGTCCCAATCCTCCTTGACCAATCATTCCACCTTGTCCACCAGATCCAGCTGCTGCTGCTGCAGCGGCGGCTGATCCAGGTCCCTGACCACCTTGTCTTCCCCATCCACCTTGTCCTCCTTGACCACTGCCTTGTCCCAATCCTCCTTGACCAATACCTTGTCCCATTCCACCTTGTCCACCAGATCCAGCTGCTGCAGCGGTTGCTGATCCAGATCCTTGACCACCTTGTCCTCTTTGTCCTCTACCTTGACCTATTCCTCCTTGTCCACCAGATCCAGCTGCTGCTGCAGCGGCTGCTGATCCAGATCCTTGACCACCTTGTCCTCCCCATCCGCCTTGTCCTCCTTGACCACTACCTTGTCCCATTCCACCTTGTCCACCAGATCCAGCGGCTGCTGATCCAGATCCTTGACCTCCCCATCCACCTTGTCCTCCTTGACTACTACCTTGACCAATTCCACCTTGTCCACCAGATCCAGCTGCTGCTGCTGCAATTGCCGCTGATCCAGATCCTTGACCACCTTGTCCGCCCCATCCTCCTAAGCCAGTTCCACCTTGTCCTCCTTGACCTCCACTTTGTCCTATTCCTCTTTGCCCACTTGGCACAGAGTTTTGGGTACTTTGACCTCGCCAACCTCCTAAGCCACTTATTTCTTGCCTTCCTGATTCTGCTGCTGAGGAGGCTGATGAAGATGAAGTCTGAATTGTGCGTGTTGATGATGTTCCGTAACTTACTCCTGAACTAGATCCTGTTGATATGTTGTTAACTTGCGATTGTGCAAACATTTGAATTAAACTTCGAATTTCATTTACAAATTGGTCATTGCCTGCCCCAGTTGTTTGATAGAATGCAGACTGTAACGCATTTGTTATGGCATCCGTTTTTATGGCAACACTCTGTCCACCTTCTTCGTCGACAGCAATTTCTGCTACTGCTGAAGCAAAGGCCATATTGAGTGCCTGTAATTTTGATTTTGTTGCCTTACCACCCATATTATCAATCGCTGTCAAGAGGGTATCTCCTATTGAAGATATATCATCCATTTGATCACCTGAAAATGCACTGTTTTGATTTAGAGTTCCCATAAATGACCGCATGAATCCTTCCGCATTTTGCTTGCTAGACCAAGGATTGCTTCCCTGTCCTAAAGCTAAGATACTTTGCGTACCAAGAAGTACGAGAACAGTTAAAATACTTCGAGACAACCAAGCCATTATTATTGCTTTGATTTTTCGAGTTTGAATACCAGCAATGCTTTACTTGTTCTTTTTATACCATGATCAGTCGTGACAACCAACAGGTTCATCAATACACCTGATGAAATGTTTATGAGAACCACTTTCGCTATGACGCGTGAACGTTCTCTTTTTTTATTCCACCTGCTTTCTAAGAATACGTAATGAAATTTGAAAAATATGAATATTTCCGCTGCATCTTGTTTTTGTTCAAAAACTAATGTGTTCAATTTAGATATTTCGTTATTAATAATTAAATATCGAGAGTTTTACATTTTTGCCATTTAATATAATTGTGTTTCCCCCCTTCTATTAAGTGTAAATATTTTTTGCAAATGGAAGTTCAAGTTGCATGTTCCGATTTGTGCGATGATGTTCATTATAGGTGCTGATTTTGATATATATGAACTTTTACAATATTTAACAGCTTTTTTTATTAAAAATTTCATCCTGACTTATTTTTTTATATTTAAAAGTGTACTATGACTTATTATTTTATTAAAATTATTTTTTTCCCTTAATTATCAACATTTGTCTTTTGTTTTTAATATTTATATGATCACTTTTTTTATTATTTTATATTTAATAATTGACGCTACAGTTCATTACAAGATTGCGGTTATGTTATGTCAAATTGGCAATAATAATGAAGTCAAACACAAAACTAAATCAAAATATAATTTTCAAACTTTTGAATTGTTTTTTAGTTTTTATTTTAAAGAAAACTTAGGTCACGTAATGTGAAATTGGCGTTAGAATAGATTTCAAATTTATTGCAAAGGAGTTTGATTAAAACTCTAAATTAATTTTTATTTCAAATAAAACTTTGGTAATGTAAAGATTTGAACTTTTGTTTTTCTAATTAATTTCTTCCTAGTTAGCGAACAATGCCCGAATGAAAAAAGTAGTATACAATTATTTAAAGTTAGAAAAAATGAGCATTAATTTTTATTTTAAATGTTCAATATATATATATNTATATATATATATACATCTTTTAACTTGAATTATTGTATTGATTTTTCTTTTCCAAATTAATTTCTTTCCAGTGAAACAAACATTGTCCCTATTAATAATGTAGGATATATTTATATTTAGAAGAAATAGATATTAACTTTTAATTTAAACTTTAGTTTCTCAAATTAATTTCTTTCTTGTGAAACGAACATTGGCCCTATGAAAAAAGTAGTATATATTTAAATTTGAAAGTAGTTGATATTTTTTTATGACAGCGATCATTTAAAATGTCACTGTTGGTGACTCTTTACCAGCCATTTTGCAAATTATTTTAAAGCGTGCGATATTAATGTTAAATTATTGTTAGATTTACTTTGGTATGAGAAAAATAATTTAACTTCATGTGCTTCCTTCCTCTGATTGATATAAGCTTTGCATAACTAAAAATGGCACCATTTTTAAAAACGTTGACCATGATTTTTTCAAAGTATGCTAACAGTTTTGCCGTTCAAAACTTTCTAAAACAATCGTGGTTGAAAAGAGGCTGTTCCCATTATTTTGTTCAACCCATGTTTATATTTCTCTTAATTTCAAATAACTTAACTTAGTCAGAGCTACTCTGCGACTTATCATTCAATTGAGAAATTAAGTATTATAAAGTGATTTTTCTAAATATTTCCTTCATTTACTGAAACTAAGAAAAGTTGCTATTTTTTAATCTTCCTGATTAAGATTCTATGCATTGGCAGTGAAATAACAATTGAATTTATACTGTAATTTCAAACAGGATTTCAACTTCGCCGACACTTTATGTTTATAAAAATTATTGCTATCCAAATCATTATTAATCAACTTTGTTAAGCCTTTTCCGTCTGATGTTCCTTTTTATTAGACAGCAAAATAAACCTCGCTGAAATGAAAATTTTTATATGTTAATATTTAGTAAGCGCACTATTTTATCATTATTAGTTATTATTGAAAAATGGTCAGGGTTTTACTTGAGTGGAAGTACTTTGGTTTGTATGCATCTATAAAAATTCAAAATTATTTCGATAAAGATACAAAATTATTCTAAATAAACAGTTAACTTATAATAACTATACAACACTACTTAAACATCAAAGGACTTTCTAACAAAATGAATATAAATGAAGGCTTAATGTATAACTGATTATTTTACACTACTAACATATTTGAAAATTTTTAAATTTTTTTTTAATAAATAATATTAACCCGTGACCAAATACGTGGGTAGGTAGGTACTTTTTACATAAAACCAGACCAGACCAGAAATTAAGAGTTAATTACAGACAACTAAAACTTTTTTGAGCAAGATGCAATTCTATATGATTTTAAACTTATATTATTTCTTCGTGTAAGATGCTCGAGCTTTTAAAACCAGCTATCAAGAGGTTAGGCGACTACAATGTGTCACCTCTATTTTTTTATTTTTAAAGTACATGATTGATTCGATAAGGGCCGCTTCGTGGTCCTGGTGCCTGAATCGCAATCATTACGAAGAACATAGAGTTAATAACTTTTAAAGTGAAAGCAAGTAAAAATAAATCTATTACTAATTTATTAGAATGAAAACTCACTTTTTAAATTTTCTAGGGACTGTACTATCCCTATATAATTATCCCTATATAAATTAGGCCGACGCAATATGTGTAGTTGGTTAAGTAGAAAAGTTATATCTATACATTTTCCAGAAATGTATGCTCCGGATTCGACAAAATACTCTAAGAAACGGCAGAGACCTATAAACTGAAATGTACAGATTTTTGGTTAATTTCGCCAAATTTTTAAAAGGCCTAACACGTCTTAACTACAGGAATGTGAACTGCTCCGTTTTGTGCAAAACTCCAGCTTCTGCTAAGGTTCTATTAACTTGTGGAATAAGGATAATTATGCTCACTCTCTGTAAGTTTCAAAACGAAAGAACGGCAATAAAATTGCATTTCAAATGATACTTTGATTTTTTGATATGTAGTGGTTGAAAAATTACTTAAAATGTAAAATAATAAAATGAAAATAACTTTCATTTCATTACCACTAGAAAATATATTTTTTACAAAGCGATGCAAGTTGGCATCAGTGTAACTGAAGGGCTGCCGGTTGACAAGATATACAAAATTTTATTATAAAAGATTAAAATTAGCTACTTCTTCTAGCATATTTGTTTTAGTTAACTATTAATAGTCAATACAATTAATAGTCAATACAATTACAAGCTTTATAAATGAATAATTTGAAATGCAAGTCATAGTGGTAGCTGCGAATAATTAAAAAGCTAATAAATAAACAAAACTGAATAGAGTTTCTATCACTTTCTGCTAAAATAGTGGCGTTTTGGGTAAAAAATGGAATTATTTCGAAGTAGTGATGAGTAAAAACATAATAAATTGAGTTTACTAAACCAAGAATCATACAATAAGACTCTACGGCTTGAAAATATTTATCCTCATTCCGGTAAAAACTATCATCTCTGCATTATCCCGTACTTTTTAATGTAAATAGTCAGCAATTGATTTGGAAAAGATTGCAGAGGTCCTTTGGAATCAGAAGGGTGAGAATCACTGCATTTAACACGTTCACGCCGGGGTGACCCACCGGTGGGTCACGCTAGATTTTCTCATCTTGGCAGCGCACCGGAGTAAAAACTGGTAACAATAAATTTCATTTTTTAGTTTTTTTCCGGGAATAATAAAAATCCATAACTATCAATTGTTTTTAACGTATGCAATTTTTATTTTGAATTGCTTCTTCGCCGTGATAAATTTCCTTACAGTGAATTGTTGAGAATAGATTAACTCCTCCCGAATATTTTCTAATATTGAAATAGTTCTTCTACCAGTATTTTCTCTTTTCCCGTACCATTATTTTCACTTTTCCCGGCGTGAACGTGTTAAATAACATACTTTCCAACTTTTGATGGTTGTCAAAAAAGTTTTTTCCCGGTGGTAGAGAATTGTTATTTCTTTGGAGATCGTAAACTACCGTTTCAATGAAATTGAGTCAACACTTGAACGCTTTTTCAGAAGATAACAGGCTTATCATATGCATTTTTACATTATTTAAATGTATTGACAGTCAAAATCATTTTAAGTAGCATTTATACAAATAAAAATATAGTGTCAATGTATAAATTTTGGTATCACATTAAATATTAATTCTTTCGGAAAATTCAAAAGAGTGGGCAGGTATGAAATAATATTGTTTTATGAATTATCTTCGGTTAATAACACAGAAATCCTGTCAACCAAAGTTCCCAACTGGAATTTTCCAAGTGGTAGTAAAACGATAATTGAAATTCAATTGCATTGCTGCCAATGCCATTTATGATCTCTTATTTATTTATTCGCTTTATAAATTTAATTTAAACAGTAATTTTGACTCAATTTATTATTTTTTTTATTGTGTCCATGAACAGTTAAATGGCCTCGTGTGCCTTCAAAACTGCATCCGCAAGCTCCAATAAATCATTACTGTAGAGGATCTCACGAAGTTCTGAAGCCAGTGGCACCATACCCAGTTGTAAAACATATGGGCTAAGGGCTGGGTACTCGACAATGTGATCCGGGGTAAGTTGGATATCGGTGCAGTTCTTGCAGGGTTTCTTATTTTGTCGGGAAGAATTTTCATCCCCTTAAAGTGGTTTGTTCTTAGTCTTGTAATTGTTGATGTTAAGATTCTGGAACAATCAAAGTCAGTAATGAGGGGTTTCCTGAAGGAATGGGGCAGAAGTCTATGTCTTGCAATTGCATTTGCGTCTGCAAGCGTGTAAACGCAAATTTATCAATTATAACTCAATTTACAAAAATTAAGAATATATATTTGTGCATAATAATATTCAACGGTGCATTTAAGCTCTAGCATAATATAAAAATCTTCCCGTAATTGTTATTTGCTAGTCACATTACTACCTTTTGGGAAAATCATCTTAGGAGAGAATCAAAGTTGGTAGGTATGCAATTGTAGGTAAAAACGATTATCTTTATTATACAGAGTTTAAACACATTATACAGAGATTAAACACACTATATTTTCACTAAATTAGATAGCC